TTGATAGTGTGACCTCAGCTGAAATTGTTGAAATTGCTAAATCGTTTCAATCAAATAGAACTGCTGGTTATGATAAAATTCCTATGTCAATAATTAAACAGTCTATTAATATCATTGCAGAACCACTTTCTCATATACTTAACTTATCCATTGCTAGTGGCATTGTCCCTGATGATATGAAAATTGCATGTGTAATTCCCTTATTTAAAGCAGGTGATCGTGCAATATTCTCAAATTATAGACCAGTATCTATACTTCCATGTTTTTCAAAGTTTCTTGAAAGGGCTATGTATAATCGTTTATTGGCATATCTCGATAAATTTAAGATATTAAATGATAATCAATACGGATTTCGCAAAAATTCAACTTCACCTGCTTTGATCGATTTATATGACAAAATTTCAGACGCGATTGACAGAAAAGAAACTTCTGTGGGGATTTTCCTGGATTTATCTAAAGCCTTTGATACAGTCAATCATGAGTTGGAACATTACGGAATTCGCGGCTTGCCATTGCAATGGATAAAAAGTTATTTTACCAATATAGAACCCAATTTGTTCAATTTAATGAACATCGCTCATCTCCTAGTGCTGTTTGTTGTGGGGTGCCTCAGGGTTCTATACTTGGCCCTTTATTTTTTTACTTTATATTAATGATATTTGCAATGTGTCACAATTAGTTGAATGACAATTTTATTTGCTGATGATACAAACATTTTCTTTTCACATAAAGATCCGCAATATGTAATCGATTCTTTGAATAATGAACTGGAAAAACTGTCTGATTGGTTTCAAGCAAATAAATTGTCGCTTAATACGGAAAAAACGAAATTTATGGTATTTAAACCAAGACAAAAAAAATTCTACCTGGATATACAACTATTAATAATAAGTGTATTGAACAAGTCAAGGAAACTGTGTTTTTGGGAGTTATTCTGGATGAAAATCTGAGTTGGAAATCGCATTTTTCCCATATATATATATATATATATATATATATATATATATATATATATATATATATATATATATATATATATATATATATATATATATATAATTTAAAGACAAACTTGAGTTACTTCGTTTAAAACATTTATTCACGACAAATTTGTTTCGTATGGCAAACTAAGCTTGCCACACTCACAGTGTTGTAACGAGTCGAGTCATTGACTCTGACTCGAGTCAACTCGAGTCGCTATTTTCAGCGACTCGAGTCCAATACGAAAAATGAGTCCCAACGAGTCAACAGCTCCAAATGACTCGACTCGGACTCGACTTGCTGATTTTGCCGTAAATGACTCGAGTCAACTCAGCTACAACTTGTACAGAGTAAATTCATCACAATTATTGTGATTGTATTACTTGTGAAGAACAATGAGCCCTGTAAACAATGAGAACTTTGAAACTTTATCAGAAAATATATGGGATTTGCATAGAATATATTCCTGACGGGCATACCTATATTACATTTCTGTTTTTAGAAACAACGCTAGTGCCACAGTTTTTTAAAATTAAGTCTCAAAATATTTTGTACTTATACTAATTCTGACAGGCTATTTTCGATTTCAAAAGAAATTAATTGGGCAGAACAGGAATATATGAATATCTGCACCCCCAATTATCGATCTTCCGGCATCCCTGGGCAACTTGATTATGGAAGTGCTCTAACTGGAAACAGTCAAAGTCCTTTGTTTGCTTGTTCAAAGTTTATAATATATGAATACATTTATCTATACCACCTGCATGATCTGCTTAATAATATATGTAACAACCTTTGGGCTACATTTTATATATATATATATCTTTAGAGACACCCCGGCAAGTCACGACAAGGGTGAACTATTTTTTTTTTAATAAAATTACCCATTTCACTGCAAAGTGCCCAATTTTCAGCAGTTTGTTGATATTTAAATGTTTTTGTATCTTGCCTAATGTTGGACAATTTTATTTGCCAAGGAAAGTGTCCAGCTAGACTCATGATGTTTCATGTTGACATATTTAGATGTTATTTTCCTTAACACTTCCTACTTTAAGTTCTGCACACAATATTTAACTGTGAGGTCTCAAGCTAGATAATTTTGCTTATCGACTGTGGTCTGCTTGCCCATTTTTCACCTTTTAATACTGACAATTAAGCTTGCATGTATTGGCAATAACTGCTTGATCTGCAAGATGCTTGGTGGCATGGGTCTAACTGCTAGTAGACTACTAGACTGCTCATCCTGCAATTGATTTGAAACCCAATGGAAAGGATTTTTCCAAGCCATTTTAAAATTTCAATGACTGTCACCACTTTGTTCCTTCATACTTTTGCACTTGGCTTTGGCATTTTTTCGAGTGTGTCTTTCCTGCTCAGTCGAATTCGATCGCCTTTCACTTTGTAAATCTTCTTGTATAAGCTGCATATGTATGGTTGCTGTTTGCAATTGATCATTTATTTCAATATGTGGTTTTCAACTTGTTCATCAGTTAATATTTGCTTGTCTCGGTAGGTTTTCTTGTTCTCCCAGTTCATATATTGTATCTTAACATTTTGCCAACATATTTTGAATGCAAGTGCATGCTATTTCCACTGACAAGCATGGTGTGAAACATATGCATTATTGTGGTAATTAAAAACACTTCTTATTTTGAATTTTTTTTCAGTGTCCCTCGGGATACTGTTGATTTCCAGTATCCAAATTTAAAATCTAGTGTCACCAAGATATTGGGATACTGACATTGATCGTAGCCCTTGTAATTTCTCTTTACATAGCCCTATTATTGCAGGGGGGGGGCAAAAAATGTAGGGGGAAGTGAGCAACAGGGCACCTCCAAAAACGTCTTGTTCTTAGTCTTATTTAGTTCAAAATTTTTTGTTTCAATTGCATTAATTACTGTCATTTATCCCAATGAGGGGGGTGTTGCGAATTTCTCTAGGTGGAGTGGCAATACTTTTTTGGTGGGTGCACACCCCACTTCACATCCAGAAAATACATTTGTGGTCTCATATGACATATTTTGTCCTGTAATTCTTAATGTTGGTGTTGAAGAGGACAAAGATGTTTTGTGCTTTGTGCACAATGTATCACCAGTAAAACAGGGCCAGAAAACCACTTACTTCACAGCCAAATAGAAGCGAGTTGTGCAGATTGAAGATGCAAAGTCACCTGTCAAAGTTCATAATGAGTGCAAGGAAGGGCTATAATAATGATGTAATTATCAACAATTACATGTCACTGCCACAACCAATGGCCACTTCTGCTGTTGCAACAATTGCCCTTCTTGCAAAGTTTTGGAGCTGTCTGCAGTAGGGGTTCTTCATACTGCCCATGGCCCATTTTTGAAAGGGATATGGCAATAAAAATTAACTTTGTCTCATTTTAAATATTTTGACCAAAAACAGTGTGCAGTCCACCATCTTGGTATTATAATTGACCTAATTAAAGGGTATTGGCAATAAAACTTTTTCTTGCTTTATCTGAAAGGGCATGAAAAAATAAGCAGATTGGCTCATTTACTGCTCTAATCTATCTCATCTGGCGCAAGGGGCCTGCAAACGACATTGTTACCTTGGCAACAAAATTAGAAGTGTTTTTCAATGCGTCTCATCATGTACAATCAGTATGCAAAATTTCATTTGATTTGGGCCCCAACTAATGATGTCACATGTTGTGCTGAATCAGCAACTTCTTTTTTGCACATTTTTGCATATAACTTTGGAACTACAATCCTGGTCAAAAATATTGGCGCACTTGACGCTGAATGTGCGAAATTTGATTCCCACTTCAATAATAAGCATAGCAACCCCCCCTTTCCCCTTGATTAATGTTGTTGTGTTGTGTGTTAGACATCCAAGGTGTTACACAACATTGATTGGGGGGATAGGGGGATGTCTGAACATGACATTTTGGATAAAATGCGGAATTATGTATATGGTAATCAGAAATGAAGTAAAGGTTATGCTATTTCGACTAAGTGTGCCAAGGTTTTTGACCAGGATTGTCTGAATGTGCATTATCTTACATTTTTATTTCATTAAAAAACATTGGTCTTAATCCTTGAATGGTTAGTGAACCTTTAATAATGTTTTACCTATTAATAACTTGCGTCTAAATAAATAATAAACATTTATAATATAATAATAATAAAATATATAATAATAATGATATATTAAGGGTGTGCTATTTCATTTAAATATATCCCTTTTAGAATGTCAACTTTAATCTTACTTAAGTTGACAGCATTATGAGCGTGTGCACATTTTCACAAGTATTTAAGCCGTAATTTGTGGTCTTGTGTACATTTCACATGTTACATTTGGCGACTGAACTGCTTATTTGAACACATTCGCAGAGCGAATATAATGGCATCACTGGGTATTCGACAAGTTGTTTATTATTGTTTATCTCATAACTTACAGCAGAATTGATTTTACTAAAATTGCTTCTAAAGATAAATTGGCTGAGGCTGTCGTAGAAAGCTGGGAAACATGTGGAATAAAATTAGCTTTTTGGGTTGCTCAATGGAGAAGCATGCAAATGCTGGCAGCAGTTCTGAAAGTAGGGAAGCGAGTGATTACCATTTTCACATGGCAATTAAGTTGCAGTGACGGGAATGGTGGTTAATGGTAAGAAATATTTTAGATGATGTCCACAGACTCAAAGTCAATTTTAGTTCGAACCACAATACATACTATAGTGTGTACAAGTATGTTATGAAGGAAGATCCTGAGCCATTGTTTTCAGACGGGCATCCTGACATCTCGAATGATGCTCCCAGGACCAAGAAGGCAATTGCATCCTGTTGCAAGAAGGAAACCGGTGGAAAGAAAGGGAAAAGAATGAGAAAGCGTGGCGAAAGACTGAGTGTTTTTGATGTGACGCAGATAGTTCAAAAGAGAAGCATTCAGAGTTGCCTTGAGCTGGTAGCGTTAGCTGTGTCACAAAGCCGAGAAGGAAACACAGCTTTGGCAAATTTTGTGGCAAATAGAGGGCATAAGTGCGTTCAAGAAGCATTGTCCTTAGCGAAAGAGTTTGCAGAAGCCGAAGAGAGATTAGCGTGTTCCAAAAACACTCGCATTCAAATTTTTATCGAGTTTCAAGGTGCTAATTGCGTTCTTTAACTACAGGGTGTATCAAAATAAATGCAATTCATCTTTTGTGCTTTATAACTTTCGAAATACTATTTCTAGTTAAACGCTTTTAGGCTTACTTGAAAGCCTGTTCTTTTCTCTTTCAAACAAACTATTATCCTTGTCTCCAATGCTAGTAATAATTGCACAGGAAAAGATGTAGTAAAACCTATGCTGTTTAATTATGCAAGTTTACTATGTTATTGTTTAGTCGGTTTAAATGTTAGAATTTTCTTCTTTAAACTTTAATGTTGTCGTCACTACATCTGGAAAACCACGTAAGAACAAATGAAAAGTATTTTAAAAGAGACCAGGTTGTTTGAAAATCCTAAACGAATGCTAAAAATCGTCAAAACATTCTGGTGTCTGAGCCAGAGTGTCATCGAATTGCGATGCAATGTAAACAGAAATTATAACAAGTTGATGTCAGTCAGCTTAGATGGTCCAAGCCAAAATTATATCACATTTGAAGTTTCAAATTGAGTTAAAAATAGTGGAAGAAAAGCCGTAATTATACTTATTGTTATAATCCATTTAATAAAATGCAACATTTTTTTGTTTTAATGAAAAAATCAGTTATTTTCATGAGAACGATTTGTTATTCCATCTCAATTTTTTTAATCTCCAATCGCAATAACGTAAAGTATTATTACCCGCGAACCAATGAGTCAAATTTAAGAAACAACCCACTATTAGAAAGCTGAATGGCTACGCTTTAAAATGAATGTAAACTTTAACGTTTTCGTCTATTATTTGTTTAGCAATTTACATTTCAGTTGAGGATTGCACTTTTTTTGATACACCCTGTATAAGCTTACTTGGGAATCACAGGTTGCTGTTGATGCTTCTTTTATGCCCTGCAGTTGATCTTCTTCCATCATTTCTGTGGCTGTATTCTCGGACTCTGTATTTATAGTAGGATGTGTAACTGCATCTTTGCTTAAATTTATTAAAGTTTCTGCCACATTTAGCTCATATGTACTTTTCCCAACAGCAGGCTTAGCTGGCGAAAGAGAAAACAGCGATTCCGCTGCTGATTTGTCGTGAGCTGTTCTAAATCGTTTACCACATGCTTTTCTAGTCGAAGGAGACTTCCTCTTTCTGCTCAATCGCTTGATCTATTTATAACAAAAACAATATTGGTGTCAATATTGTTCAATATGTTGATGAAATGCATATCATTCAAATGTATACATTTGCATAAAAATTTAACTTCTTATCCATAGACCATATGCTTAGCGTATCTCTACTAGCTGTCGCTGAAATGGGGTCGGGATATTCTTCCGTCGGGATATTCTTCCGTCGGGATATTCTTCTGTGGGGCCTTTCTTGTCAACGAAATGAAGACTACAAACATAACTGTCCTTTGTACAAATGAAGCCATCTTTCCTACAGCACGCACATATCCACGTTTTTCTTTGTTCCTTGCCCTTATCTCCGTCGGAAAATGATGAAATGTAACTGTTGTTCCTTCTACTTCATTTACTAGAATCACTGTTACAAGTTCCCCATGCGCATCGTTTTACCATGTTTATAAATACTTTGACTTTGTTGTTTTAATATTATTAAGCACAGTGTCAGAGTCGCTCGATAAATGAAAAATATATCTTTTAAAAGGCTTTACTAAGATCGTTCATGGACATCTTTGAGCCTGAACTACTGTACGACATGTCTGCAGCTAAATTCGACCTTTTAAACTTTATCCCATCGCTTTTCCAACTTTTAATATCATTTAAATAACGCGATAAGTCACTCTCGGTGTACTAAATTGTATTCTTGTTCGAATTTGTTTGTCCGATTTCCGGTTATTTGACGCACATGGAATGACACGTGTTGTAGAGAGCCGGAAAGGTGGATTGCACCCAAATGTTTGAAATGTGACCAAAATTCTAAAACAGGCCTTAATAGCCCCATTGACTAAATGCTCAATAGTATGTCTTGTTGTATATGGAAAAGTATATTTAGTTCATCTGTTCTGCCTTCCCACAAGGCCTATATATAGGCCTTGATGACAAACTGATCAGCACAGTTACAAAGATCAGATAAAAAGCTCTGGCTTGATATCATATAATCTAATAGCAGTTCACTGCTATTAATTCGATGTTTGGACCTTGTTCTTTGATTGTATGTTTTTTGTTTTCTAAAAAAATAATTTGTTTTCGCAGTATTTTAAATGATTTTGTGGAGTAGTCAGCATGGCTTCCACTTTTGGTGTGAGGAAAAGATATTACAACAGATTTCCAATTGCAAAATGTTATGGCCCTTCAGAAAGAGAAATGGGACAATATTTTAAAGGACACCAAGGTTATTAAGGATAGAGAATTAACTAAGAAAGGCATTTTTGCCGTCATTCCCATTGCAACAGATATTACTAATGCCCTCTTGAGAGAAAGGGTTGTCTCGAATAGCAATATCTTCTGGATATTTTCCATTTTCAACCCATGTACAAATCTATCTTGCAAGGTATCGTTTAAGTTATCAAGACAGTCTAGAGATAATTTTCTTATTTCTGCAAAAAATGTACTTACATTTTTGTGTTCATGTTGATGGCGGTGATGAAATCCAGATCTTTCTGCAATTATTGATGGCCTTGGTGACAATTGTTTGTCTAGTAACACGACCAGTTCTTTTAATGACATAGCCAGTCAGTTTCTCTTGCAGAATGATCTGTAACATGCCCAAAAATCTTACTCAGTATTATCTTTTTCTGTTGATTTTTCAAACTTAAAGGATCTTGACTTTTTCTTTTGATAAAAGGAGCTTTACATTTCGAGGATAACAACTTCTGTAAGTTTAAAATATTGATCAGTTTATTTTTTATTCTTTATGCAATGTGATTTACCTTATTAGAAACTAACTACTGCCAACTGTGGTACAAATTGTATAACTGTGGTACAAATTGTATTGCCCAATTTTTTTTAAGTTGTACCCCGTCGTAATTTTTTCCCTATTTGTGTTCCAGATGATAAGATGTCAGGAAGAGAAGAAGTAAATTTTCCAAGTATAAAATTCCATAGCATCTCCTAGAATCATAATAAATAAATTAATGAAGACTCTGAAAATGCCATTTCCAATGATCTACAGATTCCAAATTGCGAAGTTTTGTTCCAAATTGCGGTTTGGTTAGGTAAAGTGTGGAAAATATAGCTCTGCGAAATTTGCAAATTTTGTGTTAGTTTGTATTACACATGGGAAAATGCATCACAATGGGGCCGAAAGTGGTGCATTTTCCCTTGTGTAATACAAATGAATACAAAATTAGCAAATTTCGTAGGGCTATATTTTCCTCATTTTACAACATTTCACGGCCAAACTTTGCAATTTTACTCATTTTAACATGCTGTTTCTAGCTGTCATGATGAATTTTGTTTTTCTTGCCTAGATCAAAATTTAGTGTATAAGAGTCACCCATTGTGTTGCTGCAGAGCAGATGCCTTAGCTTTTTTATCGATGCAACATTCATTGCCTATTTTAAAAGTTTTGAGAAAAAAATCCTGCATATACATGAATGAGTACAAAAAATATTAAGCATCAATGGTCCACCCCTTACCACATATATCCTAGGGGGCCAATTAATTTGTATATTTTTGTGTTATTTGCATCTCCAAAAACTCCTACTTTTGTCCTACTTTTCTACATGTTTTCCTACTTTATTCCTACTTTTCCTAAAATTCTAGTCCTACTTTTATCCTACTTTTCTACACAAGGGTGCCAGAAAGCCTGAAATGACACCAACACAGAGTAACTATAGGCAAACACATACCACCTTAGCCTTATATGTGTCACGCAACAGAATGACTAGCTCCTCTATCTGTGAGCCTACCAACAAGGATAAATCGTTAATGCCAATTTCTAGCACCACAATATCTGGAGAAAGGGCATGGAACTACAGCTAGGTCATGATGTGCGACCACCAATACCGTGTAAATATACTCGAGCGGTCCCTTCATTTTTAAATGTTCGGGACATGCGTAAGTCAGACCGATATTGTAAGTCAGACTTAAGTCAACGTACAAATGGATGACCTAGAACTAAAACTTTTGGGAGTACCATCAGTGATTATTATCAAAAGAAAAATTGATAGCTATATATAAGTAAGAAAATATATAGTTAATCTCATCTGATTTTGAGAATAGAAATTTCAATTTAATGTTGATCTGTTCACCAGCACAGTTGTAGTCGAATGACAATTGCTTTGCGTAGCTGTTAATTTTATTATGATACCAACCCCTTGCAAGCTTTTCATGTTCTATTTTAAGTACGGCGCCAAGCTAATAATATTAAGAGTTTTAATCTTAATACGGCTTAACACCTACTTTGCTGTGTCTAGTTCTTGCTTATATACAAGCACTTTAGATAAGGTGATTTCACTTTCATAAGTGACATTACATAAATTCCTTATTTTTTTCGCAAATATTTTGTTTTAGATATTGAAGATACAGTTCCAATTCCCCCCCCCACACACACACACACACATACACACACACACACACACACCTGATGAACACAATGAATAGAGGAACTGCTCATCTTCTTAAAATCTGCTCTACAATCCTGGCAAAAACTAATGAAACATCCAGTATGATTAACAATTTAATCTATTCTTTCCCCTTAAAATGTTGATTAAGATGAGTTAAAAAACCTACACATAGTGTTCTCTGCCATCGATGAACTATTGAATACAATTCTACAGCCAACATTGTTCAGGGGGAGGGGATTTTGTCTATTTTATTGATTTTTTATAGGTGTTTCATTAACTTTTTGCCAAGATTGTAGTTTATATTGTATGGCTATTTCACATTGTTCGAGTATATAGTATCTTTCAAGTGGACTTAGTCTACTGCAAATATTTGCAGAATTTTTGAATTTAATATTTAATCTTCCCATCATATGCAGGCCTTGCCCTAAGAAAATCGCGCGGGAGCGGTTAATCGCGCGCGTAAAATATGTTGTGCGTGCTACTGTGAAAATTTTTTGTGAGGCCCCCCACATATCTAGAAATGACACAATTTGCAAATAATCTTGTTGATTTACAAATTAAAACATTAACTGCCTTCAAAAAAATAGGCACTCAAGCAGTGTGTAAGGATTTGAAAAATAATGCAAGAAAGATGGAAAAATACCGCCCAAAATGTAATATAACAAATCACAACTTCATGACAGATCTTTTCTTTGAATGTCAACTTTTGTTGAATAACTATTATATTCAAAATTAATCTACTACAACTTTTAAATGGCTTTATTACTGCCTGAAAGATAAAAGAAAAACTCAATTTGTAAAAATGTTGAAGATATTTAACGTTTGGATAAAAAACAACAAAATTGTTTCGATGTTTCCGCATTCTGCAACAAGCAATTACATTTCTAATTCATTTTCAATGAAACAACACAGTTTTCATAATGGAAACACCACTTTTAAATTTATTTTATAACTCCGCTTCTGAGTGTGTCTTTCAGGACCTTTGGCATTTGTATTTCTAACACAAAACAGTCATATATTCCTTCATTTAGCTCAAACTAAGTGGTAAAATGTTTAGTCATTGGTGTATTCTACGAAAATGAGCGGGTTTTTTGCCCCAAAGATCGCGAATAACTTAAAAAAATCGCTCCATTCCAGAACAAGTATTTAGTTTGCGCACGCAATGAATCGCTCGCTTAAGCAATCTTGGCTGTGTGAGGGTGTGCGATCTGCCTACAGTAATATATTCCCAGTATATTCCCAGAAGTGACATTCACCCGGCAAAGTGTCAACAACATATCTTAATGATCTAGACGCTAAATCAATGCATATCATATCAGGCCTTGCTCTAAGGGGTGCGCGATCGCACAGCAATTTTGTATCAATTTGGGCAGATTAGTCAGGGGCCATTTTTTGGTCATTATTTCCATCATTATTGCTAGTTTACAAATTAATTTTTTTTGGGGGGGGAGGGGGGGGGCTTGCTACGGTCCTTAAATATGAAGATCAAACTTGAGTTTCATAAAAATTATAGTTTGTTAGGTTACATAGATACATAAAAAGTTCTGTGACAATATAGAATGGTGTTACATCTCCAATTTCTCCACCTCAAATTATTTGTGGAGAGACAGTCTGTTGAATAACATCCATCAATGGATTCATCATGCTATATAAAAATATATTAGATAAATGAATGTCTTAATAAGCTTTATTGGACTGGCGGTCGTCAATTAATGTAATGTGAACCCTCTCGTTTCAGCCAAATTCTTTATTAAACTGCAAAAAGTGGTCAAGTGTATTTCACAATACTTTCAGCTACAATCTTGCAAAAAGTTAATGAAACACCTATAAAAATAAAAATCCCCTCCCCCTGAACAATGTTGGCCGTATAGTCATGTTCAATAGTTCATCAATGGCAGAGAGCACTATGTGTAGGTTTTTTACTCATCTTAATCGACATTGTAAGAGGAAAGGGGGGAAGAATAGATTAAATTGTTAATCATAGTGGATGTTTCATTAGTTTTTGCCAGGATTGTAGCCATACTTTAACAATGTAAACCAGCCACATATCATACCTATATATACTCAAACAATGTCAAATTCTTTATTAAACAGCAAAAAGTGGTCAAGTGTATTTCACAATACTTTCAGCTACAATCTTGCAAAAAGTTAATGAAACACCTATAAAAATAAAAATCCCCTCCCCCCTGAACAATGTTGGCCGTAGAGTCATGTTCAATAGTTCATCAATGGCAGAGAGCAGTATGTGTAGGTTTTTTACTCATCTTAATCGACATTGTAAGAGGAAAGGGGGGAAGAATAGATTAAATTGTTAATCATAGTGGATGTTTCATTAGTTTT